ATAAATAAATAAATATTAATAATAGGCGATGCAATGGCGCAGCAGGTAGTGCTGTTGCCTCACAGCAAGAAGGTCGCTGGTTCGAGCCTAGACTGGGTCAGTTGGCGTTTCTTTGTGGAGTTTGCATGTTCTCCCTGTCTTCGCATGGGTTTCCTCCAGGTGCTCCAGTTTTCACCAGTGCAAAGACATGCGGTACAGGTGAATTGGGTAGGCTAAATTGTCTGTAGTGTATGAGTGTGAATGAGTATGCGTGGATGTTTCCTAGAGATGGGTTAATAATAATAATAATAATAATAATAATAATAATACTTTTTTTTATAATGCGCTTTTCTCAAACCCAAAGCACTACAAGGCATACAAGGCAAACAGCAACAAAGCAGAACAATAAAAACAGTAAAAAAAGACCACAGTAAAACAATAAAATATGAACTATTCAGTACAATTGGATAATTAAATTAACAAAAATAATCAATCTAAGTTAAAAGCAATGATAAAAGGGTGAGTCTTGAAAAGTTTCTTAAAACAGTTTAGAGAAGCCATATTCCTGATGCTGATGGGTAGGCCATTCCATAGCTTAGGCGCACTATACGAAAAACATGACCACCCATTATCTTTAGTTTACAGCTTGGCTGATACAGCAAAAGTCTAGATAAAGAATGAAGACTGCGGGTGGGAGTTACCAGGTCACAGATATTGTCAGGTGCTAGCCCATGCATGCTTTTTATGTTAAAATTAGTCTCAAAATCAATACGAACAGAAGTTATTCTTATAAATAGTGATAAGGCAGGCATACACACACACACACACACACACACACACTCACAAAAGCAACACAATGTCCCCTAATATTAGCCTCGAGTTAGGAAAAAACAATATAGGTTGATGCCCAGTCAAAGGCTCATGAAGATAAGTTGGAGCCAAAACATTTAAAATGAGCTGTAAAATGCACAGGTGGCCAGTGTTGTGAACATAAAAGAATGATATGCTGCCTCCTTTTCACCCCAGCAGCATGCAATTGGAATAAAGCTCTCTGGCTTACACTAAAATAAAGCTAGCTGCAGAAGTCCAGCCTAAATGAAATAAAAGTGTGTATGTATTTTTCTGAATCTTTAAAATAGAGAAAAGGCATTGAAAGCAAATGGAGCCAAAACATTTAAAATCAGCTCTAAAATGCAGAGGCAGCCAGTGTAGTGGACATAAAAGAGTGATAGCTGAATTTATGTACAGTTGAAGTCAGAATTATTAGCCCCCCTGAATTATTAGCGCTCCTGTTTATTTTTTTTTTCCCAATTTCTGTTTAATGGAGGGAAGATTGTTTCAGCACATTTCTAAGCATAATAGTTTTAAAAAACAATTTCTAATAACTGATTTATTTTATCTTTGTCATGATGACAGTAAATAATATTAGACTGGATATTTTTAAGACACAAGTGTCTTAACGTGACATTACATATACAGCTTAAAGTGACATTTAAAGGCTTAACTAGGTTAATAAGGTGAACTAGGCAGGTTAGGGTAATTAGCCAAGTTATTCTATAACGATGGTTTGTTCTGTAGACTCTCGGAAAAAAAAAAAACTAGCTTAAAGGGGCTAATAATTTTGTCCCAAAAATACTTTTTAAAAAATTCAAAACTGCTTTTATTCTAGCCAAAATAAAACAAATAAGACTTTTTCTAGAAGAAAAAATATTATCAGACATACTGTGAAAATTCCCTTGCTCTGTCAAACATCATTTGGGAAATATTTAAAAAAGAAACAAGAATCAAAAGGGGCTAATAATTCTGACTTCAACTGTATCGGTCAAACTATAGGCCATGATGAAAAATAAAACACATGATTTTTACAATTGATTTCAAACACAGAGACATTCAATTTTGAGGAGTTCAAGAAGTCAGACTGACTGAAAAACGTTTTAGTTTCTTTTCACTGAAATTAAGCATTGTATTAAATTTAATAACAGCAAAGCCTTTACATCTGTCAAGCATGCCGTGAGAGACTCAAGACGCACAGAATTGTGTTTGACAGGCAAATAATTCTGGGTGTCATCTGCATAATATTGAAGCAACAAATAATGTTTTGTAAAATGCGAGCCAAGAGGAAGCATACAGAGAGAAAAGAGCAAAGGAGCCAAAACAGAGCCCTGGGGAACCCCACAGGGCAAAACGCATTGGCAAAACGCATTGAGTAATGTTAACTGAAAAGCTCCTATTTGTATAATATAAGTTAAACTGATCTAAAACTACAACCGTTACTCAAACACTATGTTCTAAATCAGGGATCACCAAACTTGTTCTTGGAGGTGTTGTTCCGGTGTCCTGCAGATTTTAGTTCCAACCCTAATCAAACACACCTGAACAAGCTAATCAAGGTATATTATACTGGAAACACCCAGGAAGGTGTGTTGAGGCAAGTTGGAGCTAAACCCTGCAGGGCACCAGACCTCCAGGAACAAGATTGGTGACCCCTGTTCTAAATTATCAACATAATCGACTGTATTGAAAGCAGCCATATATAGGGTTTTATTTTTTACGATCTAGGCGCAAAGTCTAAAGCATATGGCGCAGAAGAATTAAGGGTGTGTCTGAATCCAGTTTAGCTATTTTAAGAACAGAAAACTACACTCTGTGCCCCGGCACATGATATAACAGGGTTGTGCTTAATGAGTTATGGGTGTGTTTAATAAGTTATAACATGCATTAATCCAATCAGAGTCGCATCTCCCATTCCCTTTAAGAGTCAGTTGTGACCAGCTTGATACTACTTTAGCTGAGATTTGAAATGAAAATAACCGGACACCAATTGGCAACACAGTGGTGCAGTAGGTAGTGCTGTCGCCTCGCAGCAAGAAGGTCGCTGGTTCGAGCCAGTTGGCGTTTCTGTGTGGAGTTTGCATGTTCTACCTGCGTTCGCATGCGTTTCCACTGGGTGCTCCGGATTCCCTCACACAGTCCAAAGACATGCGATACAGGTGAATTGGGTAGGCTAAATTGTCCGTAGTGTATGAGTGTGAATGAGTGTGTATGGATGTTTCCCAGAGTTGGCTTGCAGCTGGAAGGGCATCCGCTGTGTAAAACATATGCTGGATAAGTTGGCAGTTCATTCCATTGTGGCGACCTCAGATTAATAAAGGGACTAAGCCGAAAAGAAAATGAATGAATAAATAAATAACATCCCACCATATAATGATCATCATCCAATCAGAATCAAGTATGCCAGACCTCCATGTAATAATGAACTGTAATGCTCAAAAACAGCCGGGAACTATTTTAACTGTGTGTTTATATTAAAATATCAGCACTCCATATAATTATCATCATTCAATCAAAATCAAGCAGCCACAAAGTATAACCAAAGTCCCTTTAAGGCATACCTGTCAACATTGGTATGTGAAAATAAGGGATCTGCCCAACATAAAAAGGGATTTAATCAGAAGGAAAGAGAATCCCGCCATTTTTTATATTTATTTATAAGTGTTTTCTTTCCTAAACAAAGCGAAAGCACAGAAGACTCAAGTTTTAGAGCAAGGGGCGACCCCTGGTGGTTCGGCGGTATGGGTTACGTATAGGGAGGCTCAGCTGTTCAGAGAAAGGCTGGAAATACGGGAAAATATTTTTTACATTTACATTTACATTTAGTCATTTAGCAGACGCTTTTATCCAAAGCGACTTGCAAATGAGGACAAGGAAGCAATTTTCACAACTAAGAGCAACAATGAATAAGTGCTATAGGCAAGTTTCAGGTCTGTAAAGTCTAAGAAGGGAAGTATTAGTAGTAATAGTATTTTTTTTTTTTTTGGTACAGTTAGTGTGATATTCAGAGAGGCAATTGCAGATTAGGAAGTGAAGTGGAGACTAAATAGTTGGGTTTTTAGTCGTTTCTTGAAAGTAGCGAGTGACTCTGCTGTTCTGATGCAGTTAGGGAGTTCATTCCACCAACTGGGCAGATTGAGCGTGAGCGTTCGCGAAAGTGATTTCTTCCCTCTTTGGGATGGAACCACGAGGCGACGTTCATTCACAGAACGCAAGTTTCTGGAGGGCACATAGATCTGCAGAAGTAAGTGTAGATAAGAAGGTGCTAGGCCAGAAGTCACTTTGTAGGCAAACATCAGAGCTTTGAGTTTGATGCGAGCAGCAACTGGCAGCCACTGCAAACGGACTAGCAGCGGAGTGACATGTGCTCGTTTAGGTTCATTAAAGACCACTCGTGCTGCTGCGTTCTGGAGCAGTTGAAGAGGTTTGATAGAGTTAGCTGGAAGCCCGGCTAGTAGAGAGTTGCAGTAATCCAGTTTGGAGAGAACAAGAGCTTGAACAAGGAGTTGAGCTGCATGTTCAGATAAGAAGGGTCGGATCTTTCTGATGTTATAGAGTGCGAATCTGCACGATCGAGCAGTTCTAGAAATGTGGTCAGAGAAGTTTAGTTGGTCATCAATCGTTACTCCAAGGCTTTTCACCATTTTGGATGCAGTAATGGTTGCCCCATCCATCTGGATTGAAAAGTTATGGTGTAGAGTCGAGTTGGCAGAAACTACAAGCATTTCTGTTTTTGCAAGCTTTTAGGTGATGATAGCGGGATAGAACAGTAAAATACGGGAGAATCCCGGGAAAAACGGGAGGGTTGACAGGTATGCTTTAAGGCAGGTCATTCCACTCAATGGCCATCTTTGAAATGCCTCTCTGGCATTCTGTTTGAATCGGGAAACATCAAATCCTCCAAAACTGCTTGTCAAGCTTACGGTTGCTTTTCGAATAAAGGAATCACCAATAAATTTAAACAACAGCTGTCTCTTTAATTTCATTTCTAAATGTTTGAATCTCACGTCTGTTCCAGCTGGAGAATCCTCAGTCTGTAGTGATCACTGATTGGCTCCTGTACTAGAAGGCGGGGCTTTATTCCCCATACACTTATCCCCATTCCCACCTATAAAAGTGACTCGTCTTGTGAATCCAATAATCTTTGCTATAACACACTATATAATTATTTTTAATGTTTTTTCTTCCAGATACATTGCAATCGTCCATCCTACATCCGAAAAGAGAACCATCCAGTGGACCATCATCATTAATATCATGGTATGGGTGGGCAGTTTCCTCCTGAGCATCCCGGTCATGATTTACGCCAAGGTGACCTCCAAGAAGAGCATGGACATCTGTATGATCGACCTGGGCGGGCCTCAGGATATGTATTGGTACACGCTCTACCAGTCCATGCTGGGATTCATGATCCCGCTCATCATAATCTGCACGTTTTACACTCTGACTCTGTACCATGTGTTCCGCTCCATCCGTCGGGTCAAACGCAAGCAGTCGGTTTGGGCCAAACGTGCCACCAAAACGGTTCTGATGGTGATCGCGTTGTTTTTAGTCTGCTGGTCTCCATATCACGTCATCCAAATGATCAATCTGAGTATCCAGCATCCCACCAGCGCATTTGTGTACGCATACAACATCAGCATCTGCCTGAGCTACTCTCACAGCTGCATCAACCCGCTTATGCTACTGCTTTTCGCCCAGAACTACAGAGATCGGCTCTGCCATCGCAAAGAGTTACGCTCGCAGATCAGCTCGTCTAAAACCACGGTAAAAACCGACGGCGGCTCCAGCGTCAGTCCAGACACCAGTCATCGCTGCACGGTCATCTAAACCAGGAGAAACTCTGATACTGCATGATTCTCAAAGGGGAAAACTGTGAAATAAATGACTCCCACGCTAAAGGAGTGGATCAGCGCTCTGGAAAAGTGACTGGTGTTTGTTGTATACTGTTAATTTATTTGGTGTTGTTGTTTTTTTTTTTAAAAGTTCATCTAAAATTGAAAGTTCTGTCATCGTTTATGCATCTTTATAGAAATAAATGCCCTTTATCGCCTATATAGAAATGTGATATATGCCAATAAATGCACATTTCATATAGGAGGTCATATTTGGATAGTCACATAGTGAAGTTTATTTATAAACTAATTTCGAGAGGATCACGTGCTTTTGATTGCTCGCAGCCGGCCCTGCTGTATTCAATTCATGATTTACAAATCAGACGAATTCTAAGCCATTATAAATACCCTAAGTTCCATATCACAGCCATCTTTGTTTTGAGGAATCCCCCCTTCCACCCCTACTCCTCCTCCTTTCCTAGATGGGTGGCACAGTGGCCCAGTGGTTAGCATTGTTGCCTCACAGCAAGAACGTCACTGGTTCTAGTCCAAGCCAGCCAACGTTTCTGTGCGTAGTTAACACATTCTCCCCGAGCTCACGTGGGTTTCCTCCCACCATCCAAAAACATGCAACTTAAGTTAATTGACTAATCCAAATCGGCACCATAGACATGCTCCTAGTAAGTAGTTATCTCTCATAGATATATACATTAGATGTCGCCTGGCCTTTTGTTGTCTATTGGATGGAATGCGTCAATAGCGCCGCCATCTTGCTACAGGGTAGCACTCCTTTGAAATGAATGCGGGACCAAGGTACAGTGGAGGACTGTGGCCGTCCAAAGCCAGAGATATACACATATACACATATATCTATGATGGGGAGTTTTCCTGGACGTTAGTATGTAATTTTATTTTCTAATTACGAAAATTATAATTTTACATCACTTTTCTACATTGATGGATCAGTGACCGCACAGGCATTCCTGACAAAAAGCTTGTGTTTGTGCGTACAGAAATGTACTATTTACCCTCCCTGTTAAATTTGATCTAATCATGTCCTGAAACACAGCTCCTCTCCTGCTTTCACTTCTCATACTGACGGAGGGAGCGACTCGTTTGTGAATGAATCCCCTGAATGACTGTTTCACTAGCTGACAATAATACAGTTTCTGGCAGCGGAGCATCTCGTTGTCATATTTCTTTTGCATTGTTTGCTGATTTTATTCAACAAAACTAGCATAAGCCGAGTGTTTAATGCGAGTTGGAGCTGCTTTGCCGTATGGTGAATGCAGTAAGTGACTGTTATCATCAATAACGTTACCTGATTAGCACAAAAGTTCAGAACATACAAAAACAGAAAAAACTTAATATTACCTATGAAATGTTCTGCCTTTGTGCTTTTTTTTTTGTTTGTTTGCTCGTTACTACACCCATAGACAGCGCTAAAGTCCCGCATCTTCACGTAATAACACTGTCTTGACTAGTGCGGTTGAATAACATTTGTCCTGGGAGCACTGTACCAATATGGCGGTGCTATTGACGCATACTCAGGGTCCCAATGCGATATCTAGTGTATATATCTATGATTATCTCTTAAGAGCAATCATTATCTGTTCATTAGCTACTACAGCAAGGAAGTTCTCGAGATCTACCTGAGCTCAAACTCCCCTCTCGCCTTGCAAACGGGAGGGAGCCCCGGGCTGGAGGATCTTATGAGCGGCTTTCTCCCGGGACAGCATGCCAAACACGCTTTATAATCAATCATCAGCTAAGTGTGAACTCTTGAATATTCTATTTGTCTTATATGCAATATATACTTTAAAATTAGTGCAAAAACAAATCTGCTTTCATATATTTGTTCTCATGCATTGGAATTACAAATATGTAAATATATGTTTAAATATATTACACACACATAAAATAAAATATTATATATAAAGTATTTAAACATATGTACTGTACACACTTGTTACTCCAATGGTTCCAAAAATATATATGAAAGCCATTTTGCCAATATTTGATTTGATTTGATTTAGTTTTGAACAGAAATATCATTCATAAAATATCATTAACAAAAATTACATTTCAACATGGTCGAAAATGGAGTGGGATGAAGCACAAGCTTATTATTTTCCCACCCCATTACCACATACATCATTCGTCTATTATTTAAACGTATTTCTTCTTTTACTCATCTCTTCTTTTACATGAGACATATTTTATCCTTTTGGCAACTTGGACAAATTATATGTTTGATTTAATTTGTACCTTTACATTTTGTAACATAGAATGAAAAATGAAAAATTAATTCATAGTACTGCAAATAGCCATTAATCAAAATGTCATCATACCTTTCTCATTTGATCCTTTTTCAATCACATTTATCATTATATTCCTTTAATAGTATATATCTATACTTTTTTAAATTGATTATTATCCTAATATTGTTTGAGAGTATGATATAGACCAGGCGTGACCAAACTCGGTCCTGGAGGGCTGGTGTCCTGCATATTTTAGTTCCAACCCCAATCAAACACACCTGGGCTAGCTGATCAAGCTCTTACAAGGCTTTCTAGAAACATCCATGCAGGTGTGTTGAGGCAAGTTGGAGCTAAAATCTGCAGGACACCGCCCCTCCAGGACCGAGTTTGGACACCCTTGATCTAGACTGTTCCATAATTTCACACCACAGACAGACATACACAAACTTTTTTAAGCTGTCCTTGTTTTCAACCTCCTGAAATTTCGTTCTTCTCTCAGATTATATCCCCTTTGTGGTTCTTCAAAAACTCTTATTTTAAAATTGTTTTAAAATTATATTTTAAAATTTAAACATAAATTTTCAAATAAATGTTGCATATATACATTTTATACACGTGAAATCCAAACTACTGTATATAAACTTGTATGTCATACTGTATATGTAATTTGCATACATTGGCATATATCAGATTTTTGATATGGGTCGCAACAATGGTTTCATGAGGAATCTTTAAATTCAATCCACAAATGGTTCTTTATATTATTAAAATGTTCTTTACACTGATCAAAAAAATGTGTTTTTAGTTACTTTTCACTAAAGGTTTCTTTTTGCAAGCAAAAATCTCTTCTATGGCACCTTTATTTTTTTTAAAGAATTTATTGTTCTGTATATAAAAACAAAAGCAGGAAAGATGAAAATTGTGTTTTTTATGAAGTAATTATTAAATATTGATGATTTCAAGCTTTAAAAAGTCAAAACATAGTAATAATTGTATTATATTGATGATGAAAACAAAGGTTCTTTACTAGCATCAGTGACTCCATAGAATATTTAACATCCATGTAAACTTCTCAATCCAACAAAACTTGCTATCTGCTGGAAAATGCTATTAAAACTGAGAGAGAGCAATGTTTTTTAAAGAGCCTTTTGACTAAAAGGTTGTGGAACCAAAAATATTTAGTTTTTTAAGAGTTTATTGTTCTGTATAACTGTATGAAAAATAAAAACAGAAAAATGTGTTTTTATATTAATCAATCGTTGGAGACTGAGACTTAACCCAAAACAGTATATAAATCATGAAAGCCAAAATAAGAGCACAGCTTCTGTATATTTCACCGCTCTTAAAAAGGGTTCTTTACTGTCATCAGTGGCTTCAAGAATACTGATTTTGATACTGTACCTGTAGCTAATTTTACCATGCATTCACATGGAGCTTCAGCGTAAACACTTGACGGAGGGCGTGTCTGAGGATGGGGCTGACGCGATCATTACAGCAGTGTCAGCCAATTAAATTAGTTTGCAGTTGGCTATTGTCTGAGCTGGGGTATTTGCATAAAGCAATCTGATTGGCTGATGCTTCCATTGGCACTTGAAAAGTTAAGAAAACCCCAACTTCTGCAGCAAGGAACACCACTGAAGTGGCGCAGATGAATCCACAACTCAGTTCGGCAACGTTTAATGTCACCCTTTCAAATTGAATAAGAAGCGTTGACGCTCCGTGTGAATGGGCTGTTAAGAGTTTATTACCTAATATATGAAAAACAAGTTGAAAAGTGTGTTTTATATGAGGTAATAATTGTAAATCAGGATTAATTGACTTTTTAATTGTTTCTTCATGTACTTTCATACATTTGCATTTATTTGTTGTTTGCAGTGAATTTTGATTAAACTTCAGAAACAAAAATGATAAAACATTGTGCATTTGGATTATATATTTTCCTTTTTTCTTTTTTTTTTACAAAAATGAACAAATCATAAAAAGGAATTAAAAATATTTAAAGTAATTCAATATAAGAATAATCCTTTTAGACTCATTTTTACAGGAAAAGATTTTAAAGGGCACCTATTTTGCCTTTTTTATAAGATGTAAGATAAGCCTTTGGCGTCTCCATATTGTGTCTGTAAAGTTTCAGCTCAAAATATTCATCAGATTATTCATTATTGCCTACAGAATCTGCCCATTTTGGTGTCTGAGTACAGTGTAGCTGTTGTATTTATATGTAAATGAGCTGCTTCTCCACACCCACTGTTCCCACATGTGTCTGTTTCTCCTGTTAGATAAACACATTCTCCTACAGTAGATAAACAGCAGTCAGTGATAAGTGATATGGTGATAAGTGATAAGGATTTTAGAATTCTAAGTGTTGTAAATTGTCCTGCACATTTTGCAACACTTAGAATTCCAAAATCCATGGCGCTGCGCATCTGTTGTGCGTTAAAATGTGCAGGTCCTTTAAGGGGTGGGGTTGCAGTTTTGCATTGTGTGTGTGTGGAGCGGAGAGGGAGAGACAGAAAAGAGGAGCAGTCCTTCGCAATGAGACTGTTTTTCGTGATGTTCCCTCTTTGGTGATTTAGTTGTACCACACGGAGAGTAATAAATAATTGGACCAAGTTACATGTGTCCTTGTTAATTCACCGGCTGCAAGGAAAATAAAAGGGAGTTAACCCTGAAACTAATACTCTTCGGCCCTTGAGTAATATATGAATCTCCCCTGCTATCTCTAACACAACAAAGAGACAGATCGTTTCTATCAGTGTACCCATACCGGTGCCAAAAGTCGGCAGCTGTCCGCGGCGCCCAGCCACAACTCAGGACACTGTTCATATTTCTGCAGCGCCACAAAGCCCAATCTGAATAGTTTCATTTTAATTAACATGTGAATGTGTGCGTCTGGTGTGCGATACTTCCAACTGTCATGTGCGCTGAGCGGCACATCCGGTGTTTGACGCCCTTTATCGACAGACACAGATGAAGCTGAAACACAGCTCATTAGTCAAAAATACCAAGTAAGTTTATTTAATGTATTTGTGGTGAAGTTTATTCACGCACACACACACATTAGTGTTTACTTATACCATGCTGCAATGGCGGTTAAGACTTACAATGACTTTACTCTCTTTAGGCTCTATTTTAAGAGCCAGTTGCATCGCGCCATAGCTCATTTGCTATTTACATAAGTGTACAAGTGTAAGTGGACTTACCACGCGAGAATGAGATATAAATTATTAACTTTCACTTTCGCTCTCGTGGATAGGGAAACCTTTACACAGACATCAATTAGCCTATAAATAATTTTGTTTGTTAAGCGCAAAGATTTGTTTTAAAACTATTTCTAAATTCAGTTCTAATTTCCAGCAAACTAATAAATGAAAACCTATATGGTCTAAAACCTGACAGGTGGACAAAT